CCATCATGCTTGAAAGTTTTCCTCTTGGTTTCTGGAATTCTTTTCTCATTTTCCTATTTGACTATTCTCTGGCATTCTCTTCTTCCAAATCCTTAAATGTTATGGCCCATCTCTGGTCATCTACATGATTTCCTTAATGATAGCATTCATCTCTATGGTTGAAAGGACTTATCTTTACACTTATACTCATCTCTCTTGCCAGTGTATCACTAGCCCTTTTTTCCAGGTTTTCTTGCATGTTTGAAAGGCATAAACTTCTAAATCACCTTGTGATCACTTCCATCTAGCCACTAGTAGCCACTATTTGAGCTTTCAGTAGGTGACGGGCATTTCACACCCACTTCCTTCAATTCCTCACTCAAGGTTGTCATGCTATCATCATTTTATAGATTACAGCCAGCAAAGAGCCAGGACTTGAATTATATTTTATTCACTTGCCATCTGCCATTACTATTTTTACAAAGCATACTAACAATTTGCAAGCTACATGGGAAAAAAGCAGCTTGTATTTTTAATAAATCAAGAAGGAAGGTGTGGTTCAAGGAATCGGAGCAGGATCAGAAGGGGCCATGATGTTAAAATACTGCCATTAGCGTCGATGTTACTATTGGCACTAATATAGGGAAGGACAGTGTGCAGACTGACTCAGTCCTTCCCAATTTTATCTGATTCTTCTGTTGCTCTGCCCAAGGCAGAGAACTAGGCATGCCTGAAGTTAGTTGATCCAAAAAAACATCAGAATTTGTCCCCAAATGCATTATCAAAACAAAGGAATTTATCATCTGGCTAAGATAGGACATGAATATAATACAGCCATTGATTTTTTCACCTGGGATATTAGCGATCCCATTTGCTGTGTAGATGCTGATTAAGTTTACAGAGCACTTCCTTAAACTTGAGATAGAGACTAATAACTTGGTTGTATGTGAGGAAACCAAATCAGCAACAAAAAATTGGCTCGCCTGCAATCAGGATTGGAGGTTGAATTAGAACTAAGAGCACTGGCCAAAGCTTTTCACTACACTTTTTTTTTTTTTTCCTGAAGGGAAACAGAAGTAGCAATAGCCTTAGAAAGTAATGCAAAAATGTCTTAGGCAAGACTTCATCAAGAGGCAAGGGAAATAAACAATTTATGTACCAAAGGAGAGAACTCACCTGGAGCAGAATTTATCTTATGCTCTCTACTGAATTTAAGGCTTGCCATACAGGTGGCTAGTAATAATGTCATGTGTGATTCATACATTTATGCACTATTCTAAGGTTAGTTCCTTGGTATCTCTAATTTTCTTGAGGAGGTCTCTAGTCTTCCCCCATTCAATTGTTTTCCTCTATTTCTTTGCACTGATCACTGAAGAAGGCTTTCTTATCTCTCTCCTTGCTATTTGTTGGAGCTCTGTGTTCAGATGAGTATATCTTTCCTTTTCTCCTTTGCCTTTCACTTCTCATATTTTCTCAGCTATTCGTAAGGCCTCCTCAGATAACCATTTTGCCTTTTTTGCATTTCTTTTTCTTGGGGATGATCTTGATCCCCATCTCCTGTATGTCTTGAACCTCCATCCATAGTTCTTCAGGCACTCTTATCAGATCAAATCCCTTGAATCTATTTGTCACTTCCACTGTATAATTGTAAGAGATTTGATTCAGGTCATACCAGAATAGCCTAGTGATTTTACCTACTTTCTTCAATTTAAGTCTGAATTTGGCAATGAGTTCATGATATGAGCCACAGTCAGCTCCCAGTCTTGTTTTTGCTGACTGTATAGAGCTGCTTTTTCAGCTACAAAAACAGAATCAATCTGATTTCGGTATTGACCATCTCGTGATGTCCATGTGTACAGTTATCTCTTGTGTTGTTGAAAAGGGTGTTTGCTATGATCAGCATGTTCTCTTGGAAAAACTCATTAACCTTTAACCTTTGCCCTATTCATTTGGTAGTCCAAGGCCAAACCTGCCTATTACTCCAGGTATGTCTTGACTTCCTACTTTTGCATTCCAGTCTCCTATGATGAAATTTCAGTTCAGTGCAGTTCAGTTGCTCAGTTGTGCCCAACTCTTGGCGACCCCATGAACCACAGCACACCAGGCCTCCCTGTCCATCACCAACTTCCAGAGTTGACTCAAACTCACGTCCATTGAGTCAGTGATGCCATCCAACCATCTTATCCTCTGTCGCCCCCTTCTCCTCCTGCCTTCAATCTTTCCCAGCATCAGGGGCTTTTCAAATGGGTCAGTTCTTCACATCAGGTGGCCAAAATATTGGAGTTTCAGCATCAACATCAGTCCTTCCAATGAACACTCAGGACTGCTCTCCTTTAGGATGGACTGGTTGGACCTCCTTGCAGTCCAAGGCACTCTCAAGAGTCTTCTCCAACACCACAGTTCAAAAGCATCAATTCTTCGGTGCTCAGCTTTCTTTATAGTTCAACTCTCACATCCATACATGATTACTGGAAGAACCATAGCCTTGATTAGACAGACCTTTGTTGACAAAGTAATGTCTCTGCTTTTTATTATGCTGTCAAGGTTTGTCATAGCTTTTCTTCCAAGGAGTAAGCGTCTGTTTATTTCATGGCTGCAGTTACCATCTGCAGTGATTTTAAAGGCCCAAAAAATAGAGTCAGTCATTGTTTCCCACCTATTTGCCATGAAGTGATGGGACCAGATGCTATGATCTTAGTTTTCTGAATGTTAAGCTTTAAGCCAACTTTTTCACTCTCCTCTTAAACTTTCATTTAGTTTAAACTTTCTTTAGTTCTTCACTTTCTGCCATAAGGGTGGTGTCATCTGCATATCTGAGGTTATTGATATTTCTCCTGGTCATCTTGATTCCAGCTTGTGCTTCATCCAGCCCAGCGTTTCTCATGATGTACTCTGCATATAAGTTAAATAAGCAGGGTGACAATATACAGCCTTGATGTACTCCTATTCCTATTTGGAACCAGTCTGTTGTTCCATGTCCAGTTCTAACTTGCTTCCTGACCTGCATACAGAATCCTCAAGAGGCAGGTCAGGTGGTCTGGTATTCCCATCTCTTCCAGAATTTTCCACACTTTATTGTGATCCACACAAAGGCTTTGGCATAGTCAACAAAGCAGAAATAGATGTTTTTCTGGAACTCTTGCTTCTCCATGATCCAGCAGATGTTGGCAATTTGATCTCTGGTTCCTCTGCTTTTTCTAAAACCAGCTTGAATATCTGGAAGTTCACAGTTCATGTATTGCTGAAACCTGACTTGGAGGAATTTGAGCATTAATTTACTAGCATGTGAGATGAGTGCAATTGTGTGGTAGTTTGAGCATTCTTTGGCATTGCCTATGATGAAAAGGACATCTTTTTTTGATGTTAGTTCTAGGAGGTCTTGTATGTTTCCATAGAACCATTCAACTTCAGCTTCTTGAGTTTGAGTAAGCTCTGGGAGATGGTGATGGACAGGGCAGCCTGGTGTGCCATGGGGTCGTAGAATCAGACTCGACTAAGTGACTAAACAACAAAGGTTAGTCCACTTCTTGTGTTCTTTCTACTGTCTACACAATTGATGAGAATATCAGAGTTTTAAAATCCAGAGTCAAAAGCATTATTGGGAATTCTCTGGCAGGTCCACTGGCTGGGATTCTGAGCTTTCACTGTCCAGTTCAGGGTTCAGTCCCTGGTCAGGGAACTAAGCTCCCTATAAGATGCCTGGCCTGGCCAAAAACAAAAGTCTCATAGTCAAAAGCATTATTAAAATAGGGTCTGGGGTCATACATAAAAATTCCTTCCCTCAAAGTACTTGCAAATGCGATGGAACACTGCTTGCTCAAGTAAATAATTGTGTATTATTATAAAAATGCTGGGTAGAAGGATGGACAGCTTAATTCATTAACACAACTATGGTGTTCAGCTCAGTTTTGAAGAAAGTGGGCAAATTCTGACAATTAACATGGCGCCGGAAGAGAGAAAATCTTAAGTGAGCCTGGATCCTCTGGGTGGTGCATATTTAGGTATTAGGAACTTATTCCCCAAGAGAAAGGATTGCAACCAGAGGTAACCCAAAACGTCCCAAATTAGTATTTTTATAACGTGGCTGGGCTGACCACAGAATAGGCAAAGAAGGACACACTTGGAACCCAAATGTTTAAGTCCTACCATGTGCTCGCTGTCAGGGATTCAACAGCACAATTCCTTCCCTCATAGAGTTATAAATTCAGAGCACACGCTAAACACAACTACTGTAAGTAAACTACATGGCATATTAGGAAGTGTTAAGTGGCGGGGGTCCGACAGTATTTGGAGTTCCAATTCTACATAAGATAGCCAAGGAGAACCTCGCATTTGAGCAAAGTCCTGAAGAGCGATGGGGGTAAGAACCTTCGGACATTCTGGGGAAGGACGCGAAAGGCGGGGGCACCAAGTGTCGCATTATCAGAATTTACAGCAGCACAAGGCCCAACGGGTACCTGGGCGGGCAAAATTGCTGAGAGTCAGAACGCTTTCCAGGCAAAACTTAGCGGGCCGCTGCTAGCAGGGGACTTCCAGCCATCAATGATTTTGTCCACCAACCGGAATCTCTCTCGACCCACACTTGGCCCCAACGCCGACCAGACCACGCCCACCGCCCACAGGGCTCTGCAATGGGCGGCCCCTCGTTGCTCCGCCCCGCGACCCGCGCGCTTGCGGAGAAGCCAAAGGTCAGAGGTCGTGAGTCCGTCATGGCGGCGCTGTTTCGGACCCGTGCCGTGACTGTCGAGAGTCATTTTCTGCGAGTGTTTCTCTTCTCTCGATCCTGTCGAGGAACAGCCACTGAGAGTGGCTCCGGAAGCGAGAGTTCTGATTCCACGGAGCCAAGGCCGCGCTCAGGCGGCTTCGCGAGCGCTTTGGAGCGGCTCTCGGAGCTGCAGCGGAAGGCGGAGCTCGGCCGGACGAGGGTGAGTCGCGAGAGCTAAGCCAGGCACTCGTTGGCGGGCGGGGCCGGGGTTGGGGGCGGAGTCAGGGTGGAGCCCGCCGTTATGGGTGGAGCCGGGGGCAGGGCGGAGCTTGGCGTCGTCGTTGGGCTCGGCTAAGTTGGGTGAGACCGAGCGAGGCGGGGCCGGGGGCGGGGTCCAGCGTAGGAAGTCGAGTCTGGGCAGGTCGCTTGGAAAAATGTGCGGCCTTGTGTTTCGTCGGTTTGTTGTACTTCTGTATCGTATCTACATGTTGGGCCTTCGTTGTCCACACTCCTTTGAACGCGTCTTCTGAATTGAGTGCTAGAAGGGAAACCAGCAGCGAGAGCTGCCGGCAGCACGTCTAGGGCGACTCCTGGGACTTCGAGTGGGACTCAACGCTGGAAGAGGCTGGGCTCTCGGCTTCTCTTGTGCACAGTAGCTGCAGCGTGGAGCTCAGTGTCTGGTGTTCCAGGCTCTTCAGAAATATTTCTTAATTCAGTGGCTAGGTAAATGACAGAATTAGTGTCACTATGAAGTTGAGCAAGTAATTTAACCTATCAGTGCTTCACTTTTTCTATAAATGACCTTTAAAAAAAAAACCCGTCTGCCCCAGGCAATTATTCTGTAAAATACGATAGAATTATTAGATAGGTGAAATGGAAGAAATAGGCAGAAATACAAATTAGATTTTTTTGAGCTAGCAGACATGAAGTTGGCAGTATTAAACTGTATAAAAATAAACTCCCAATTTCTGTACTTAGCTCCTTGGGAACCAGTCCCAAACAGTTCACAGACGGGTAGTGTCCTGGGTTACAGAAAACCGCCTGGCATCCAGCACAGTGCTTGACTGTTAGTGGGCACTCCGTGTTTGCCAGATGAGAGAATGAAGGAATAGAACGCACAGTGCACATTTGAACTTCAAGACAGCCTGGGCAGTCTTTGAATTGAGATTTCTGTGTGACACCTCACAAACAGTTAAACGAGGATAGCACAGGCTTGAGCACGTATATAAAACATGCTTGTCCAGAATAATAACAGAGCAATAAGAAAATTGTCAGAGTAATAAGAAAACCGAACACACCACGTTAGTTTTATTTTAGTGTTTATTGGAGGTATTCAGTGTTTTTCTGCCATATTTATTATGAGGACTATGAGTAATTGATAGATATTGGTGTAAAGACTCAATTTTGTGAAAAATCTTTCATTTCGCTCTTCGAAGTTTCTGGAACCATTCAATTGCAGAGTATCCTGACATTACAAGATGAATAAAGTTTGTCTTTATTGTGTGATCAGGAATTTTGAAAAAAATTGTAAAGTATAAAAGTGATGTGAAAGGAGAATATAAATAGCACTGAAGGTTACTATGTGCATATAAAAGCCTCCTTTCCCTCATTTTCTCAAAGCTGGAAGGTGTATTTTTATAAATGTATACTACTAGAGATTTTATGTATGCATATATGAGTATAAGTTATTTATATATACAGATATACTTAAAAACATACAGGTTTTTGAACTACATCATTTGTGTTTAAGAATGAAAGCTCTGGATTCAGACAGTCTTGGTTTGAATTATGACTCTTCTATCATTTACTGCCTGTGTTTCCTTGAAAAGTTATGGAATATCCATGTATCTTCTTTTCCTTTTTTTTTTTTAATAACAGGAAACTCTATCATGGGATTATTATGAAACTAATGAATTCATTATTTAAACACTTAGTACAGGGACCTGGTAATGAGCACTCAGTATATTTTCACTGCTGCTGCTGAAAATTGCTCTTTTCACTTAAGTATAACTTTGAATATTTTTCCTTATCATTATATATGTGTAGTGTAGTGTGCTTACCCTTCTCCCTAGGTATCCAACAAGGGATTGGTTCCAGGAGCCTCTGTGATACCCAAATCCTGGATGCTCAAGTCCCTTATATAAATGGTACAGTCTGCAGCTTCCACATCTGCAAATACAGGAGGCTATCTGTATACCTCACTGAAAAAATATTTGTTTGGCATTCCATGGTTTGGATGTAGCATTATTTATCTAACCAGACCTTCATTACTGAACTTCTAGGCTTTTTTTCCCCCTCCCCTTAATGCTACAGTGAGCATTTACATTTTTTCTGCATATTTATAGGGCTTCCCCAGTGACTCAGCGGTAAAGAATGTGCCTGCCAATACAGGAGACGGGGGTTCAATTCCCGGGTGGGAAAGATCCCCTGGAGAAGGAAATGGCAACCCACTCCATTAGTCCTGCCTGGGAAATCCTGTTGTCAGAGGAGTCTGATGGGGCTACAGTCCTTGGGATTGCAAAAGAATTGGACATGACTTAGCCACCAGGTGACTCAGTGGTAAAGAATTCACCTGCCAGTGCAGAAGATGCCGGAGACGCCAGTTCAGTCCCTGGGTCAGGAAGATCCCCTAGAGTAGAAAATGGCAACTTGCTTCAGTATTCTTACCTAGAAAATTGCATGAACAGAGGAACCTGATGGGCTACAGTCCATGGGGTTGCAAAGTCAGACATGACTGAGCACGCCCTTATCCACATATATGGGATATATAGTGACTAACAGTGTGCACACACAGTGTGAGTTTTGATAGATACAGACTGTAGCACAGTCTTACAGTGCGTGACAGTGCCTCTTTCCCCACCCACTTACACGTGTGGGGTGTCATAAGTGGGTTTTCTTGGTATTGGGCAGTCAAAACAAAGTACAGAAATTGAGAACTGGGTTGTTTATCCCTCACTTCTGATACTAGTTTGTAATTTTTATCAAAATAATTGCATGTTCACAGTTTTTGACTTAATAATTTGAACTGATAAAATGCACTTATACCAACAAAATACTATGCTTATTGTTATATATATTGGGTTCTATATAAGATTTAATTTGTAACATGGTTTCTGCTTTAAAGAAAGCTTTTGGAGCTTAGAAAGTTTGCTCTTCCCTAAACACAGCATGATATCTTTACCTTTGCTCTTCCCCCTAAAATTAGCTTCCCTGCCTACAAACTCCATAGTAAAAATCATCTCTTGTTTTAGGCCTTTATCATCTCACCAACCAGATGAAACTTGTATTGAAAGTCCAGGGGCTTAGATTAAAATGTGTGTGTGTGTGTGCGCGCTTAGTCGCTCAGTCGTGCCCAACTCTTTGCGACCCATTGGACTGTAGTCCACCAGGCTCCTAGGTCCATGGATTCTCCAGGCAAGAACATTGGAATGGGTTACCATGCTGTCCCCCAAGGGATCTTCTCAACCCAGGAATCGAGCCTGCATCTCCTTTGTCTCCTGTATTGCAGCCAGATTCTTTACTCGCTGAGCCATCAGGGAAGCCTATGTGTATATATATGAAAGTGAACACATACACACGTATATACATATGAATGAATGAATGAAAGTTAACCTTGTACCCATTGGTTAAATTCTTATCTTTAAAATGTAGACACATGTATCTATATGTGCACCTCAGAAATAGGAAATATTCAGTAAGAACCAAGCAAGTTATCCTTAAAAGGAACTTTCTTTTCCCCTGCAGGCAGGAATTTAATCAAGGGCAATTCATGTGAATTCCCTATCTTAAAATTTCAGCCATCTCAAAGGATCTCAAGTTTCAGTGACCTGAAAGTCCATTTATTCGTCCATGCTCACTTATTCATTTCTCTTTTCCTTGGTTCATTATTTTAAGATTGACTTATTCATGTGTCTCTGTAAAGTGTTTTGTTTATTTTTTGTGGGATGGGGACCAAGTCCTTTTCATTTTTGTAACCAACATAACACACGCTTACGTATAGAGGACCTGGTAAATATTTGGTAAATATTATATTTTAAAAGTCAAATGCCTTTTTCCTTTTAAAAATATTTTAAAACCTTTAACCCTCTTATGGCACTTAGTAGTAGTTTAGTTGCCAAGTCGTGTCCAACTCTTGTGACCCCGTGGACTGTAGCCCACCAGGCTCCTCTGTCCATGGGACTCTCCAGGCAAGAATACTGGAGTGGATTGCCGTGTCCTTTAGAGAACAGAGATTTGTAGAACCTGTTAAGCTGATTGGGAGCTGTGGTGTAGTGAAAAACCCATCTTATAGCCACCAGGTGGCAACAGTTGAGCAGAAAACTGGTTTTCTGCTTTATGAATGTTACTGTTTCTTAACAGTAGAGGGTGGCATGTTACTTCACAGCACATTGAGAAAATGGTTTGCAAGAGTTTTTAAGGCCACACAGAACATTTTATTTTTTTAGGATGGTGAGTAAATATTTTAGCTGATTTGTGTAGAATACTGATGTTATAATACACTTTATAGTTTCCTTTTAGCAATACATTAGATTTTATGTAAATATTTTAAACTTTTTTCATGAATATTTCTTATTGGTATTTTTAATTTCAAAATGTTGGACTATTCCAACCAAATATTTAAATCAGATATTTTGTCTTTTCAGAATCCTGAAAAATCCAAAAATAGCTTATTCGAAGAATTGGTTTCAGTTGTCTTATTTTTAATGTAAGTCTTCTAAATTCATATACTGGCAATATCATACAGCTTTATTTACCCCTTTGTTTTCTCACTAGTTTTATATTGATGACTTAAAAATTACACCAGTGTTTTAAACACTAATATGTAAAGGATGATGCAAAACATATCTGGTTTTAACCATAGTATTCCCTGATTTTTACATTATAGAATTCTAGGAGAATTATCTCTAAGTTAATAATAAAATCCTTCTGAAATATTTGGTTTCACAGTAGAGTCTAACATTTTCAAAGCAGGTTTAGAGGAAATGACCAATTAATATAAAAACAATGAAAGAGTGTATTGAGGTAGATATAAATCTCTAAGGAAAGTAGGTTTTTATCAACAGCTGTAATATACATATTGATATAAATAGTACTAGACATTTCCTAAAAGAAAAGATGAATATATTCTGTATGTATTCTGTTTCTTGGGTGGTCATATGCTCTGATCATATACAATCAGACTCCTGTGATTTCCCAAGTCAGCATTAAGTGTAAGTAAATAAGTGTTAGTCGCTCAGTTGTGCCCAACTCTTTGCGACCCCATGGACTGCAGCCCACCAGGCTCCTGTGTCCATGAGATTTTCCAGGCAAGGATACTGGAGTGGGTTAGACATTTCCTTCTCCAGAGGATCTTCCCAACCCAGGGATTGAACCTGGGTCTCCTGTACTGCAGGCAGATTCTTTACCAACTGAGCTACAAGGGAAGCCCCAAGTCAGCGTTCAGTTCAGTCACTCAGGCATATCCGACTCTGTGACCCCATGAATCACAGCACACCAAGCCTCCTTGTCCATTACCAACTCACGGAGTTTACTCAAACTCATGTCCATCAAGTCGGTGATGCCATCCAGCCATCTCATCTTCCATCGTCCCCTTCTCCTCCTGCCCCCAATCCCTCCCAGCATCAGGGTCTTTTCCAATGAGTCAACTCTTCGCATGAGGTGGCCAAAGTATTGGAATTTCAGCATTAGCTTTCACTCTTATTTTTACTTAGACATCTCACTTTCTTCTTTTAATATGTTTGGGTTTTCCTTTATTTTGTTTTTACTTTTAAAGGTTTTATTAAGATTTTCTCTTTTGATTAATTTTCTAATGTGATTATGATGCTTAAATTTGTTTTTATCTGTTGGCATTAAATAACATGAAATAAAGAAAGCAATAGCATTTGAGTGGAGCCTGGTTTGTAGGGATTTAGGAATAAAATTAAACAGTGAGGATCCCATTTTTCTTTTCCCTCTCTTTGTAAAATTTGGAGCACTCTGCTGTTGTCAGCTGGCAAACATGGAATGATAGACTCCCAGTCCAGGAGTCAGCGACTCAAGTCCTCTGGCCTTTGACCAACTACTCAGGTTGAGGTGGTCAGATCCTCCCAAAGGAGATAAGTGCACACTGGAGCAGAGGATGTTTATCCCAGAGAAGTGAAAACTTATATTCATACAAAAACTTACACAGAAGTGGCCATAGGAGTTTTGTTTATTTATTATAGCCAAAAACTGGAAACAGCCCAGATGTCCTTCAACTGGTCAGTGGTTGAACATACTGTGGTATATCTATCTTGTGGAATACGACTCAGCAGTAAAGAGGAACCAGTGACTGATGCATACAGCAACTTGAGTGGCTCTCAAGTGAGTTATGCTTTGTGAAAAAAGCCAATTCCAAAGAGTAACATACTTTGTGATTCCGTTTATATGACATTATTGAAATAGTGTAATTACTGAGATGGGGAACAGATGTATGGTTGCTAAGAGTTAGGATAGGGCAGAAGGGAGATAAGGAGTGGAAGGACAGCACAAGGGATGGTTGTGGTGATGGAACGTCCTGTGACTTGACTGTGGTGGTATATACATGAACCTTCACATATGATAAAAGTGTATAGAACTAAATATACACACAAATGATTACATCTGAAACTGGTGAAATCTGAGTACTACTGATGGATTACGTCAATGTCACTTTCCTGGTTGTAATATTATACTGTGGTTTACAAGATATTACCATTGGGAGAACTGATAAGCATTGCAGGAGCTCTCCATATATTATTTCTTGCATTTGCATGTGAATTTACAATGGTCTCAAAATAGAAAATTGAATTTAAAGAAAAGTTTCATTTCACTAGTCTGCCAGGTCCATCACTAGTCAGCCCAGTGAAGTCCATAAGCGTGACACCACTATCCCATATAATTAATGATTTTTTTGGTTAGAAACAATGCTATTTGGAATACCATGACAATGAACATGAAAATCTATAAATTCATGAATGGTGGTTTTGGTAGAAGCTTTGTGGATGGAGAAGGCAAATCCATATTCAGAATAAATGTCCATTCCAGTGATAAATATATCACTGTCCTTTCCATTTCAAATGGTCCTATATCACCAATTTGCCACCAGGTGTCTGGCTGATGCTCCCAGAGAATGATTCTGTCTTGGAAGCTTAGTATTGGTTTCTGCCATGGTAGATTGGTCATTTAGCAGTGACTATAGCCAGATTCAGAGAAGGCAGTGGCACCCCATTCCAGCACTTTTGCCTGGAAAATCCCATGGACGGAGGAGCCTGGTGAGCTGCAGTCCATGGGGTCGCGAAGAGTTGGACACGACTGAGCGACTTCACTTTCACGTTTCACTCTCATGCATTGGAGAAGGAAATGGCAACCCACTCCAGTGTTCTTGCCTGGAGAATCCCAGGGACGGGGAAGCGTGGTGGGCTGCTGTCTATGGGGTCACACAGAGTCGGACATGACTGAAGCGACTTGGTGGCGGCAGCAGCAGCATAGCCAGATCACTACTCACAGGGTGAGTTGAAGTCAGTATTCCTGAATCTATGCATAAGCTCCATACCACAGAAATTCAGGGGCTTAGCAGCTGGTAAAATTTCTAATTGGCCAGTGGTCTGGGCCATGTTGAGATACTCTTCCTACCCCCAAGACAGAAGCACATCCCTGCTGTCATGGCAGCTTTGTTCTTGAACCCACTGGGGAGGTGGACAGGAGTGTCAGGGAGAGACGCTGACTGACTCCACATGGCTAGCTGTCTTGTCCCTTGATTATTAAGATTCTTCTCTGCTGAAGAAGTTATTCACGTGCGACTCATTTATTTTCTCACTCTGTGCCTGTTTTAGAGAGGTCTGTCTTCCTATCTCTTTCCCAGACCTTCTTGCCACACGTTTCCCAATCCTGTTTCTGCTTTATCTCTGACCATCCAGCACAATCATTAGTCACTTGACAGAAATCATTTTTGGTCCTCACTTTAGGCCGTCTGTCTTTGCAGAGAGATAATCATTCCAGTGCCCTGCTCAGAGCCCTTTACTGCCGTCGTTCAGGGCTACTCTGGTTCTGCATACGCTACTCGTAGAGACCTCTCGGAATGCTCACTGTCCATCTCTGTACTGCAAGCATCATGTCTGCCAGGTTATAAAACTCAAGTAGTGGAAGAGCTTGCCTAATGACCTGCACCTTTTGCAGAGTCTTACCTTGTTCTGGGCCCCACTCAAAACTGGCAACTTTTTGGGTTACTTGTTAAAAGGATTGAAGGGGCATGTCCATGTGAAGTATTTGTTGCCTGCAGAAATCAAAGAGACCCATTAAGCATTGAGCTTCTTTGTGGTAAGAAAGGATATCTCAACATAGCCCAGACCTCTGGCCCCCTGGGAATTTCAACCAAGGCCCAGCATTTTTGTGAGATTCATTTCCCACCCTCTGGCATAGAGGTGTCTTACCATGTGTCGAGAGTAGCTGCAGTTTGCTGCTTCCAGGTCAAGTCAGCCTGTGTAGTGGAGTAGCATACTGTCCTGTGGAATGGAGTGGCCTTCAGTCTGTAAACTAGACTGTGGTACAGAGCTGGAAAGTTAATGTAACCTGGAGGTATATCATCTTTACTAACAGGTCTAGAAAAAGAAAGCATTGGTTAGATAATTATTGCATGCCAGGTGCTGAGGGATATTTTAATTTACTACAGTCATGAAATCACATCTGGAACAACAGCTGCAATTGGAGTTACCCCTTGATTAAATTTATGACAATAAATTGTCCTTCTGGAAGACCTGTCTGCTTTCTGCAGGGCTTCGTAGGCAAGTTGAATGAGCATGTGGCAGGAGTCACCACCCTGCGTCTTCCGGGTCCTTGACAGAGGTGCTGACTGCTGCAGTGCACTAGGAAGGTGGTATTTTGCCTTTGACTTACTTTTTTGTTAGGTAGCGAAAGTTGTAGTATCTCTCACTTGACCATTCCTGCTCTAATAGCCTTCACTCCACAGAGCAAGGAACCAGTGTGGAGATCCTGCCAGTGGCTGACTATATGTGTTCCAATTGTGCATTCTTGAGAGAATAACCATAGAGCAGGTTCATGAGATAGATCTGAGCTAAAACTCCATTTATCACGCGATTTCCATAAGCCCTTGTTCTGACTGGCACTGAATTTGTTCTTGAAGAGTTAGTGAATTTGTTCTTGAAGAGTTAGTATCAGTTCAGATAATCTCTGAAAAGTCTGCTAATTTCTCCTCCCGCAGTTCTGGTAAATAACCACATATCCTTTGGGAAAGTTGGAAGGAAGAGTGGTGGTCCAGTATACCTCCTCTTCATTTGAAAAACTTGGATGTCTGGGAACTGGTTGAGGGGCTGTGAGTTTCATATGTGGTGATTCAAATCAGGCTTTTGTTCTCCAGAATTAGAGTTTTCCCATCTATGTTATTTGTAAGGACACCATAACCAACCAGTTAGTACCAGAGAACTCTACAGGTTGTTAGGCTCTGCAGCATTATGATAACCATGCCCATCATCTTGTTGGCTCAGAAGCGCTGAGCTGACTCCTGCCACTAAAGGATCTCATTATTTCCCATTGAGTTCAGGGAGCTCTTGTTGGCAGCAGTTCTCCCCGTCAGTCCTGACCTACGGAGAACAGCTACCACACGGCTCTCAGAAATGCTGGAACTCCCTTCTCAAAGGTGTTTCTCTTAGTCTTGGTGAAGTGCGTATCTTACAGATCCTCCTGGGGCCATAATAAGAGGTGGTGAACAGATCATAAATAATAAATCCATCCTAATGTTATATTCTCTTCTAGCCTTTGAATACCTTTCTCAGTGGTATACTAAGGAAGTTCTGGTATTTCAACTTCATCTAGTGTAGTCGGTCATTGGGTCCAGGTTTCATTCAGTCCACCAAGCAAGCTATTAAAAGCCTCTTCCAGCCACTTAAGCTAATATATTGAATCTGAATTTCTGCCTATGCATGAATGCTTCTGTTGTGTCCAACTCTTTGCAACCCCTTGAACTGTAGCCTGTCAGGGCCCTCTGTCCGTGGGGTTCTCTAGGCAAGAATACTTGAGTGGGTTGCCATGCCCTCCTCCAGGGGATCTTTCCAACCCAGGGATCGAACCTGGGTCTCCTGCATCGCAGGCAGATTCTTTTGCCATCTGAGCCACCCAGGAAGCCCCAGTGATGACTGGGTCTATAGTGAATTGATTAATTTTTTTAAGCTACATTTTAGGGGGTGATGGTCCTACCAGAGGCATATTTTGAGAGCTTTACATGTGGCTATATATTTATTTAATCCTCATAGCAGCCCTGTGAAATAGGTATAATTATGAACACCCTTTTATACGTGAGTAAACAGTAGCACAGAGAGTCTAAGTGCATTGCCCCAATCACAGAGCTGGTAAGCGGTACCGTCAGGACTTGAGCCACATAGTCCAACCTCAGAGCCTTTAGCACCTTGTGCTCCTACTCCAGGCCTTACTAACTGCTCATACCTGGCCAGACAGCTGTCATTTTGATTCTTTTCTTTCCTGATGGACTGAGTTACCTATTGCTGCGTAATCAGCCCTCAAGACTTATTTCTCTAGACCATTTATTTAATTATTATGTTTTTTAGAGAAGATAAAAAATATATTGTATTTATTTTGCCAGGGCAATAAACACCTTATTTCTAGGTGTTGTGCACTTTGGCCTTTCTGTCAAATGTTCTGTGCTGAACAGAATATTGCCTTCCCTGACTATATTCTTTTAATTATTCCACTTGTTTTCAGCCTCGCTTCTCATTACAGCTTTCTATAATTCCTGGCATGATGAAGTCCTGTGCCTTTACGGGATTCTTCAGAATAGATTGACTTATTTTCATAGCTTCTTCCTTCTGTGTATTTTTAGCTTCAGTTTCCTTCACTCTCCTTCACTCGTTATCACCCTTCTGCATGCTTTTGGTCCACTAGAAAGTTGTTTAAATTTCTTGCATACTTTTTGTCTCCGTTCTGTTCTCTTTAATATTGGCAGTTTGTAATTTTTTTGTTCATTCTTTTACCATCGTTGGGCTTCCCTAGGAGCTCAGCTGGTAAAGAATCTGCCTGCAATGCAAGAGACCCTGGTTCAATTCCTGGGTTGAGAAGATCCACTAGAGAAGGGATAGGCTACCCACTCCATTATTCTTGGGCTTCCCTGGGGGCTCAACGTGTGAAGAATGTGCCTGTAATGCAGGAGACCTGGGTTTCATCCCTGGATTGGGAAGATCCCCTGGAGAAGAGAACAGCTATTCACTCCAGTATTCTGGCCTGGAGAATCCCATGGACTGTAGTCCATGGGGTCGCAAAGAGTCAGACCCAACTGAGCAACTTTCACTTTCTTTCTTTACCATCACTGAATGGAATTTCAGAGGAAGGCAGAGAGAGATGTTAAGTATCCACTGAGCCATCTTGAACCACTACTCCATTAATTTTACTAAAAGAACATTGTTATGAGCATAGCATTTATTGGTTAGGGCTGAAGAAACTGAAGTTGTTGCAGCACAGTTAATAGAAGGAAGTCAGTTTTAAATTACCTGTCAGAGAAGACACATGTTAAGATGTTTTTCTTGCTAACTAATGTGAAGTAAAGCACATATACCATTTCACTATTTTTGTTACCGTTTGTGTTAAAAGAGGGAGCTGGGTAGGATTTGTCTTCCCTTTTCAATGGTTTATTAATTTATAAAATCATATTTACATTGTAGAATATTTAAGAATTCCTACTACTAAACTTAATAGGTATCCAACCTTTTCATTAACAAGTGAGAAGACAGATCCAGAGAGGTTAAGTGACAGTCAAGATTTTTAGCTATTTAGTGGCTGAGTTACTCATAGAACCCAGATTTCCTGAATATTTGTTATTCTGCTGTCCTGTTTGCTTCTTTTTAAGTTTTTTAGTCATGTTTCTACTTTCCATCTTTTGAGGCAACTTGTATTTAAAATCACTTTCAGCCTGTCACGTGGTTGTGAGTAGCAGATATGGTATTCATGTGTGAAATGAGGTGCCTGCACTCACTGATATCTCGTCCTTCCTCTGATTCCAAGCTGTATATAAATATCTTCATATGCATGATAGTTGTATACATATTAATTTATGCATATGCTTTATAGGCTTCCCAGGTGGCTCAGTGGTAAAGAATCCCCCTGCCACTGCAAGAGATACAGGAGATGAGGGTTCGATCCTTAGGTCGAGAAGATCCCCTGGAGAAGAAAGCGGCACCCACTCCAGTACTCTTGCCTGGAAAATTCCAAGGACGGAGGAGCCTGGTGGGCTGCAGTCTCTTGGGTCACAGAGAGTCGGACATGGCTGGATGACTACTCATCAATGCACGTATGCTTCATACATTAAAAAGTTTTAACTGATACCCCCACTCCCAAAAATAAAGAACTGTGTTGCCATTTCCTTTTCTAGGGGATCTTCCCTACCCAGGGATTGAACCTGTGTCTCCTACAGTGGCAGGCAAATTCTCTACTAATGAGCCCCAGGGGAGCCCAAAGATGAGTGCTGCTGCTAAGTCGCTTCTCGTGTCCGACTCTTTGTGACCCCATAGACGGCAGCCCACCAGGCTCCCCCGTCCCTGGGATTCTCCAGGTGAGAACACTGGAGTCAGTTGCCATTTCCTTCTCCAATGCAGAAAAGTGAAAAGTGAAAGTGAAGTTGCTCAGTTGTGTCCAACTCATAGCGACCCCATGGACTGCAACCTACCAGGCTCCTCTGCCCATGGGATTTTCCAGGCAAGAGTACTGGAGTGGGGTGCCACTGCCTTCTCCGCCAAAGATGAGTAGAAGGCACAAATCTGTACTCATGGATTTCTGAAAAAGCATGTGCTTGGGAAAAAAATTTTTGTAAGTTAGAAAAAAAAGAAATAATCGGCCTGTATTATATATCCAACCCTACTTCAAATAAATTCAGTATGTAAAACAACTTCTATAAATGAGTACCACAAAACAGTTAAAGCTGTCTTTCCTTTAAAATTTTATTTTAGGAAAAAGAAGAAAATTACAGTGTTAAAATATAATGTTAAAATTAAAGTCAGGTCATTTAAAAATATTATGTAACAAGAACTGCTAATTCAGACTACTAATTATATGACCCATAATCATTTTTATCTTAATGTTTATTTAAATTTGTATTAAACCTATAGTCACTTTCATTAACCTATATTCAAAGGCATTTTTTGTTTTTTTTGTGGTTAGTCATATAGAAATGAGGGCTTCCCTGCTGGCTCAGATGGTAAAACACCTGCAGTGAGGGAGACCTGGGTTCGATCCCTGGGTTGGGAAGATCCCTTGGAGGAGAGCATGGCAATCCACTCCAGTATTCTTGCCTGGAGAATTCCATGGACAGAGGAGTCTGGTGGGCTACAGTCCATGGGGTCACAAAGAATCAGACACGACTGAGTGACTAAGCACAGCATATAGGAATGAAGCCAGTTACCTTCTGGGATACCCTCCCTGCATACTCACCTCCTCACCCCAGGCCTGAGGCTTTGGCTAAAGACTCTTCTTACCTGCTCACCTTCCAGATTCCACCCGGGGCCACCACATCTCCACCCAAGCACAGATGGCTGCTTTTCTCTGGCTCTTCAAGGAGGAAAAAGAATGAGGAGGAAGCTGAAGAGTGTACCTGACTTTTTAAAGCAAGATTTTATTTCAGTGTTTTTATTATTGCTGCAAAACAAATATACAGCAAATTGACTTTTAAAAACTTCCCCTGTAAGCTATTACTCTGTGTGTGTGTGTTAGTTGCTCAGTCGTGTCCAACTCTTTGAGACCCCTCCAGGTTCCTCTGTCCATGAGATTTCCCAGAATACTGGAGTGGGTTGCTATTGCCTTCTCTAGGGGATCTTCCCAACCCAGGGATCGAACCCTGGTCTCCTGCAATGTAGGCAGATTCTTGACTATCCAAGTCATCAGAGAAGCCAAGAGGTTGTGGCTGCGTGGGCACGGAAGCTGTTACTGTGCTTACCATGTTATACCTTTGCATTGAATTACATGCGTGTCAATGTCTCTTTTCATATTTAGGGCTCTCCGAAAAGTGTGGAATCCTTCGCGTCTATGCTGAGACATTCTCCTCTTACACAGATGGGACCTGCAAAGGATAAAATAGTCATTGGGCGAATCTTTCATATCGTGGAGAACGATCTTTATATAGATTTTGGCGGCAAGTTTCATTGTGTATGTAAAAGACCGGAAGTGGATGGAGAGTAAGTAGAATCATTTCCAGATGCTTTAAGAGTGTGCATAAAAGTTGAGATATCTCAAAAGTATTGTTGGACTTTAGTTGGTGATTTTTTGAAAAGATAGAAAATATGATTATTTCTCTTCATGCTAGTTAGTCAACTTAGGCCAAGTTCACCTCATGTTATATTAGTCAAGTTAGGCTAGATTCATGTCTTCTCAAAGCAGTGAGATCAGTTTTGGGGAAGATTTGAATGTCCATCCTGATAATAAACCATTCCACATCATAAAATTAAAACCATCTTTGGAGTAATGCATGCTGTTCAACCCATTGTATGTGTAACTTTTGTGCCTCTTCTTTTTCACAGTCTCCATCTGCCTTTCAAGAGAAACCTCTGATTTCTCTTTCTTTATGTTCTTTTCTCTTATTGTACCAAATTCTGATTCTTTATCATTTTCTTTTCTTCCTGTTTTGCATCTGCTCTCTGGATTACTATTTTTCCTGTTATTTGAACAGAATTCATTCTGTTTATAGTCTTTGTAAATAAAGATAATTGTGAATATAAATATGCCTTATGAAAACCACTAAGGTGGGAGACCTGGGAGTAGAATATAAAGAGGGAACAGAGATGCATAACTAAAACTCTGAGATTAAAAACAGTAGTCAGCAAGATGGAAATGAATTTTTTCCATAAATTTTTAATATATACAAATATAAAGAAACATGTATATCACTGGCATTTTCCAGTTTATAATAAATTTGGCTGAGCAGGTAAAATATTCATAATTCAGCAGACTTATATATAAAATGCATCTTTTTATAAAGCTAATACCTGCTGGTCTGACTTCACATTAGGTCAACTTGTAAGAATAAGGATGGCCAGTTCAACTGGGTGGCATCCATGGTGGCATGATGTAAAGCTTATCAGTTGTAGGGAAGAGAAGAAAGGATTTCTTTACATGAAATAAAGCAGTACTTCATTTTCAAATTACTGATATATTTTCTATTAATGAAAAATGATCTGCTCTTGCTCTTGCTAACAGTACACAAGGATTTAGGATCTCTTCAGTTTGGCAGGCACTGTTGTAATGGCTTATAAACAAGACAGACTAGCTCTCTGCTTCCATGAAGTTAGGGGAACTTAGTCTCTTGGAAGAATGGAGAATAGATAATAAACTAGTGCACAAATCAGTTTTAAAAATTGGTAATTAAATGAGTAAGAAGAGGTAATATGCTGACAAGATGTTTGGTGAGTAGAAGATAACAGTAATCAGAGAAGAACTTTGACCCTTGCTTCTATTGCTAAATGTTTAAAATGCCATCAGAATGCTTCTTTTTAAAAAAAGTGATAAACAACTGATAAGGATCCCAGATTGTTTTGGTTAACTGAATATTCTAATTAGCTAAATTACAGCCTCTTAATAAGTTCTATAGCTTTTTTTGTTTTAATATTCATTTCTGATTGTTTAAAAGAACAAGTTTTCAGTTTTTGTCCCAGAAGCCTGTTGTTCAGGTGCCAAGTCACGTCTGACTCTTTGCAACCCCACGGACTGCAGCATGCCAGGCTTCCCTGACCCTCACCATCTCCCAGAGTTTGCCCAGGTTCATATCCATTGAATCAGATAGAGTTATGCAAAAAGGCTTCAGAGATTACTCTGGGAGAAAAGGGGGCAGTTAGGTCCTATTTCAGAGCAGCTCTGCTTTCACTGTTTTTACATGTTATAGTTCTGGTAATGTCTTGTTTAAGATGTTGGGGGGAGTGGTGGTGAGTATTTCTATCATACAAAAAAAGTTCGAAAAACACTTTTAAAAGAAAAATTAAGTCTAGAAAGACATTGCATTAATAGTAATATTTAGAATATAAAGTATAGTATTTAGGCATGAATAATAGTGTTGTGACCTACTTTGAGTGAGTTGCAAAGTAGACAATTATAATTACATTCAGAAATTTTGGCAGTGTGGTTGGAACCTAACTCTTACAGTACCAGCCTCAAAAGTTTTAATCATTTTGTTTTTTAAACATCAGTTTATGACTTGGGATCAGAAGTCAGATTATAGCAAACCAAAATGACCCTGGCATTAACTTTTTTGGCAGTTATCTTTGAATTAACTGACTTGTTAAATTTAATCAAGATTTTCTTTTATAAAACCCATTAACCCATACCAGCACTTCAGTTCAGTCGCTTAGTCGTGTCCGACTCTTTGCGACTCCATGAACTGCAGCACACCAGGCCTCCCTATCCATCACCAACTGCCGGAGTCTACCCAAACCCATGTCCATTGAGTCGGTAATGCCATCCAACCATCTTATCCTCTGTTGTCCCCTTCTCCTTCTCAATCTTTCCCAGCATCAGGCTCTTTTCAAATGAGTCAGCTCTTTGCGTCAGCTGGCCAAAGTATTGGGGTTTCAGCTTCAACATCAGTCCTTCCAGTGAACACCCAGGACTAATCTGCTTTAGGATAGTACCAGCACTTAGATAATTAGAAACTAATAGTTCTGGACCATAACTGGGCATTTTTGCTTCTTTCAGTTGAGGTATATATTTAGCAAAAGCTAGTTGTGTTTATTCCCAAGCCCATTTATATTATTGCTAAATAATTTATTTGATTATTACATAATTTATTTGATTATTACATAAATTAATAAAATATGAGTTTTGAAAGGGTCTTTGTTCTTATGAAAGCTAATTTTAATGTTTAGAAAGGCACCATAAGGGAATCTTTTTAAAATTAAATTGCTATTGAATTAGTTTAAGTAAACTGTAAAGATGGGGGCAGTTCTTTCTGTCCCTGTGTTAATTTAAAGTAACTGACTCTGGCAATCCCAGACTTTGCAGTGTAGATATTGTTTATTTAAGGAGATCAGTGCAGTGCTCCAGTGAGTGGACCTCTCCTCAGTAAGAAGGCCTGCCCCCTCTCAGAATATTTGCATTAATTGCTAAGTTAATATCTCTACAGTTTATGTGCATACTTGTTTTATGGAGTCCTCACTTTGACCTGCTTTTCCATGAACCAGTCTATGAGTCAGGGGACTTCTATGAGTTAGAATATAAAGCGCTTTCCCTGTAAACATTTGTGTGTTAGTAATACAGCACACAATTTCACAAAACTTATCCTAGTGTGGGTTAAGATCATTTCATTTCTATATCTGATAATCCCGATAGCCAGGCTTTTTAAAACCTATGTTGGCACCTTATACATTATCTGATTTGTTCTGCACAATAAACACAGGCAGTAGAAGATATTGTCCCCCATTTCCCAAATGAAAGTAATTCTCTGAGCGTAAACAAGGTGCTGCAGTCACAGTTGTAATTAACAAGGCAGAGATTAAAGCCTAGGGCTGTGTGTGTCCATCACTCAGGAGTGTTCTTTCACTCTGCCGTGCTGCTCTTTAAATCCTACACATGTAGCTATTAGTAGTAAAGTGTTACAGAAACTTCCTTAAAATAGTCTGACCTGCTAACCAGCTTTATACCAGGGACCTTGAAAGCAGTGGTAGTGAATCTTTATAGAGGTCTGTTAAAGACTGGTAGATAGTCAATTCTAATATCCTGGGTTATGGATGGGACAGTGTGTTTGGCTAGTACTACCACCAATAATCTAATGGCCAGCAGATCCAGGCTTTGTTTTGGAATGGTTGTGAATCATGATTGTGGTGACGCCTGTAGTCACAGAAACTAGTTAATGTCTGACAGTGATAAGTAGCTTAGAGTCAGCATGCCTCTTGTTATTTGGGAATGACATAGTTCAAAAAAGTTTATTTTGCAAAGGGTAGAAAGTTGACTCTATGTATAACACAATTTTTAATTGATTCATTTTATAAAATGTATCATTTATTTTCTTGAACCTTATTAGACCTAAAGTTGTTTAACTTGTCTTTGTTTTGATGACCCAAGGTCATAATTATGAACGTTAATTTCTGTATTGTATCACAACTTAAATATATAGAATTATTGTTCCTCAGCCACACAACCCTCCAGTTTTGTAGTTTTTGTGTTTCACCTTTGGGTGTCATGTTTCTTTTTCTATTTGTATTTGTGTCTGCATTTTTAGCTTTAATTAGACTTCCTAATTTTCTTCTAATATTCTGATGCCTGGGAAATCAGTCATCAAAATTGTGCTTAAAGTAAGACAACTAGAGTTTGAGTAAGGACCTCACAGCCTCTTAAGTAGATGAAGTGTATGTATACTTTAGTACGTGAACGTCAGTGTGTATCTTGACCACTCTTAAGCTCCCCTGCTCAATTCTCACTGGGTTCTGTGGAGACTTGATGTCACCAGATAACTAACTTCCTGATCAGTGGCATGCAACTAGGTTGGGGTTTTGCCCCTATGTTGACTACCTGTTCACTGAAGCCCTTGATAGGGATGGTCACACATCAGAAAAGTGTTGTTGAATCAGTCAAGGTACTGAGTGTCTTGGACAGGAGCAGTTGTCGTGGTTGAGACTTTAACACCTCTAGTAGGAACAGTAGTGAAAATAGAATGAAATTATTGGATCTCAAGTACTACTTGAGATGGTGCCAGTTCTTACAGTGAGTGAAGCAAAAGTCACTCAGTCAGGTCCGACTCTGCGATCCCACGGACTATACAGTCCACGGAATTCTCCAGCCCAGAATACTGGAGTGGGTAGCCTTTCCCTTCTCCAGGGGATCTTCCCAACCCAGGGATCGAACCCAGGTCTCCCGCATTGCAGGCGGATTCTTTACCAGCTGAGCCACAAGGGAAGCCCTTGTGCGCAGCATTGCTTTATGGCATTGATTAGTTTGGTCGGCTTGGAATGTACCCATAATACATTTTATTAATCTCAAGAACTAAGTTGCTGATTTTATTAACCTTATTTTTAAACAAATAGGCCATAGTAAGTATAATTTTTCACTGAGTCAGCAAACATTTAATGAGCAGCTATTGTGCACCACTTCTTGTTTTATATTAGTGATGTACAGATGAAAGACAGTCCCAGTATTCAGGGAGTTTGTGATTCAGCTGGGGGAGAGAGATGTAAACCAATACACATAGTATCAT